CGGACTTTTCTCACTGACGTATGGTTGACTCAACCACACCGACTTCGCTTCACTTGACCTTTGCCAACAATCTCCCATCTCGCCGTTCACAGCGCACCGAAAATGGATCACCGAAGTTTGTCAACGCAATTAGTCACACAAGGTTTCGGTGTGTGCTGCTTAACGGGCTGCGGAAACGAGGTCAAGACAGGAATGCCGTGCACATCCTGCCAGAAGACTTTTCACGCCGCATGTGCCAAAGTATCCATTAAAAAGATGAAACATATGCTCGCACAACAAGAATGCTTTTCGTTTTGCAGTGATTGTATGAAACCTCCGGTTATAAAATACATAATTGGCATTGAAAATGGGTGTGAGAAGCTAGTGTTAGCTGCGGAGGAAAAAGCTAATGGAAGCATTACAGTATTAGAAGAGAAGATAACTACCCCGAGGTCCCAGATCCCCCAAACGAGCCCAATCCACCGATCGATTAACAGTCCGAGGTGTTCTTTAATCAGTGCCGCTCCAACGCAGTGCATAGACAAGCTGACATAAACATGGCTGCTATAGTAACGAATGATACAGCGACAGTTCCTGAACAGACGAAGATCATCCTACAAACGAAATCTGTTCTAATCACACGGAAGCCTTCGATAGTGGGTCAAAAATGGTGGGTGCAATACCGCCTTGACGCTTATTTGCATAAATATACCAGAACCGAAAAACAACCGCTGACAGAACGACAAGAATAGGAGCGGGAAAACTGGAAGGGTTTGTGCACGCAGATGGGCATCAGACATGGCCAACACCGTCTTGCAGTTATGGCGCGGACGAAAGAACAGAGGGCCTCCGGAACTGCGTGTAAGACCCTTACTAAATCCCGGGCTCCAAACACATTCATATCCCGAGAACCCTAATGATACATCAAATCACTCAATGCAAGTACCAAATTCCGTCCCACAACCGGTGGTCCAAAGTACCAGAGCTTCTCTTTCAAAAAATTGATGGTAGCCGACCGCGAAGGGGTTCGCTAAGATTCCACTTCTGATTCAATCGGATTTCTACACCGGCAATATTTAAACTGTTCCTACATCATTGTTTAAGGACTCCTCAGCAAATCTCCAGAGGTGAATTTTCATTCCATATCAGGTCAGTGGGATATTATTGGTGTTACAGAAACGTGGCTTGCAGCTGATAATCCGGACTGCGAATTGTCCTTACCAGAATTGTCCCCGCGCAGATGCGATCGTCCTACACGTGATGGTGATGTTCTACTCTATTATCGGATAAATCTTGATTGCGAGCAAATCCCCACCCCAGTTTCGATACCTGACACTCCGTGGTGTAGGCTGAGATTGTTCAAACACGATGACTGTTTGTTTGGTGTCATCTATCTCCCTCCGTTAGCCACGGGATTAGCCAATATGGCCCTTTTGAACACTATCTTGCACATTCTCGCAAAAAGATTCACACTTGTTCTGCTGATGGGTGACTCCAACTATCCCAACCTCGCCAAACCAATAACCTCCCATCCCTTAGTCGAACAACAATTCACAAAGCTAATTGTCTCACAACCACTGTACAACCGCGTGAAAGAGCATACCAGATTTGGAAACTTGCAATCACCACCCATAACTAGATTTAGTGTTGACAAACGAAGAGTTGATGATAGAATCCGTCGCTGTAATGACCCTTCTGGGACAAAGTGACCATGCTTTACGGTTGTTCAAATACATTTGTTAAGCTTCTGTCAAAGTAATTAACCCAAACAACATTCGCGCATTCATAAACTATGCAAAGGTACAGACCTTGGCTTCTTCCATTCAATGCATATCGCATAGCGAACAGCACAACCCTTTAGTCATATGGCAGGAATTTACTGACAGTCTGCAACAACTGCTGGCATCAGGGACGCAGGTATAAGTTGTTACCAAACCCAGCAGCCGGAAATCACCTATTCGAAGCCGTACAAAGAAATGGATATCTCTGCGGGACCTCTCTTGGAGGAAGCACAGACGACTTCCAAATGCATGCACCTAGAACAATTACCGAGTGTTGCGGAACCACTGCAACGAGTTGGTGCACGAAGATAAACTAAACCATCAAGAATCTATAGCACAAAGACTAATATCAAACCCCAAGCATTGTACAAACATGTTAAGCCAGCTCGAATAGTTAAACATAGAATACCGGTGCTCAGTTCTTTTGGAAGAGCAACAGTCAATACAATGGAAGCCACTGAAATGCTGAACAACCAGTATGCTCAAGTTTCTCTGCGTCAACTAACAAACGACTGTAACCTCCCTTGCTGGATGCGTCAAATTCCATATCCTTCACTAACCAACGTATCATTCACTACGGAAAAGTTGAAAGCAAACGTATTGACTTTCAAGAAGAATTCATCGCCAGGAGCAGACAATATTCACCCTCAAACCCTTATCTGCTTGGCAAATCAAATAGCCAAACCAATAGTCTTCCTATTCCAGAGGATATTCGATCACACCGCAATCCAACCGTCGTGGAAGCGGGGATAATTTCACCCATTTACAAAGGCGATTGCCGTAGCGATCCCGCTAACTACCGCCCTGTAACCCTCCTTCCAGTGTTGTCCAAAATCATGGAGTCCATAGTAGCAGATTCCCTGATGGAACACCTAGAGAAGCACAACGTTTTGTCATCAAATCAATATGGATTCCGACAGAATCGATCCTGCGCTACCAAGTTGCTGATCGCACGAGAAGAATGGACAAAAGCAGTGGATGACGGCGACGAGGTAGACGTTATTTATCTAGACTTCTCGAAAGCGTTTGATCGGGTGAACCACGACAATCTACTGCGGAAACTCCATAATCACGGTATTTGGGGCCTCATGCTTGATTGGATCGAAGCATTTCTCCGGCATCGCACCTTATCGGTTCGCGTTTCTGATTCGCTTTCCAGTCGCTTTCCTGTGGACGGCACCCGTGCGGTTCCACAGGGATCTGTGCTTGGCCCGCGAATCTTCCTAACATTCATAAACGACCTACCGAAGCCTATGGGCCAAAGTCATTACTTTTTGCATATGAAGCCAAAATTTGGAATATAGTAACGCAACCAGCAGGCTCACTCACACTCCAGGATAAGTTGGAAACAGTTCATCTGTGGTCCATTATGAACGATATTGAATTCGATGTGCCAAAGTGTAAGGTT